AGTAAAAATTTCATTGAATCCTGCGGTGTCACAATATATGGTCTTTTCAAAAAATCTGAAATTTTGCTTTGCAATATGATGATCTAAAAAATCTATGTTGAGGTCGTGATGTGTGTTTTTATTGCGGATAAACCATCTTGCTTTTGTTATTTTCCTGAGGATTTTATTCTGGCATATTTTGAGTTTTTTAAGGAGTGATGTGGAGATGTTTCACCAAGCTGGAGATGCATAAGTTAGGATGGGACGGATCATCGAGATGTAAAGTAAACGTTTAAGTCTGAGTTCCATTTTAGGTTTCTGAAAAAGGATTTGTAATCTGTGGCAGGCTGTTTGTGCTTTGATAACTGTTTTGACGTGATCTTTCCAATTAAATTTGCTGTTTATGACCAGTCCAAGATATTTTGACTATGGGTATAGTTTCGTTAAAGAGAACAACTTGATTTTTTGGGAGGATAGTTTTTCTTTTATGTTGAATGATTAGTAGTTTTGATTTTTGGCCGTTGACTTTAAACTTCCAGTCTAGACACCAGGTTTCTATTTCTGTAAGCTTTTCTTGGAGTTTCTGTAAGGCAATGTTGGGATTTTTGAAATTCACGACAGTTCCTGCATCATCTGCGAAAAGTTCTGTGATGCTATTAAAGTCTTGTCTGTCGATGGGAAAGTCGTAGGTAAATAATATGAATAGTATGGGCCAAGGATGCTTCCTTGAGGCACTCCTGCTGTTATTTTTCTGTTTCTTGATTTCATGTTTTTAAAATTAACTTGAAAGGTTCTATTATGTAAGTAGGTTCTATTATGTAATTTTAATGACACCAGATGGGAATTTCAGTTGTATAAGCTTGAAGATGAGACCCTGATGCCAAACTCGGTCAAAAGCCTTTGCGATATCAAGCATCAGTAGTGCTGAACTCTGTTTGTTATGGAGTCCACGACCAATATAGTCGACAATTCTGAGGAGCTGTTTGGTTGTGTCAAGATGCTTCCGAAAGCCATACTGCTCATCTGGTAGTGAAGTAAGGTGCGGCTTGATCCTTGTGTTGATAATTTTTTCCATGAGCTTTCCTAAGTTGCACGAGAGACTGATCGGTCTGTAACTTTCAGGTAAAGTAGGATCTTTGCTGGGTTTAAGGAAAAGTATGATATTTGCGTTCTTCCAGGCATCAGGGAAGTAGTTTAAGGTAAAGCAAGCATTGTAGATATGAACTATTAGTTTTATATACTGTTTTGGTAGTAGCTTGATCATCTTGTTTTTGATATTATCACAACAAGGAGCTGTTTTTATTTTTAGTTTTTTTAATGTGATTTATAACTTCTTCGGTGTTGGTCGGTTTAATTATCTCTGGAAATGAATGCGTTAAGTTGAATTGCTTGACATCTTCGATAACCAAGTTATGATTGTTCAGATTGAAGTCCGGGTTTGGAGAAAATTGTTTTTCTAGTGAGTCAGCAAAAGTTTCAGCTTTATCTTGAGCTGTGAAGACATACCCGATATCTTTATGTAAAGGTTTATCCACTTGAGGTGTGGCTTGAAGTGCTTTTATCATTCTCCAGACAGAATTATCCTCCGTGCTGAGCGATTCAATTTTATCTACTCATTGTCTCCTTCTGTAATAACGGCATTTCTTGTGTATTTGCTTGTTAAGATTAATCATCTCATCTCTGTAGTCTGGATCAGAAGTTTTTTGGTATTTCTTTCGGCACCAGTTTCTTTGTTTGATTAAAAACTTGATTTCAGGTGGAAGTTTAAGATGATTTGAAGCGAGTTCTTTTGATGTAGTTGATTTATTATAGGCAGTTATTATATCACTCTGAAGAATAGCAATTTGTGTATCAATTTCTTCGGTAGTCTTTAGAGCTGCAAGGTTTGGTTTATTTAATGTGAGAATATTTTGAAACAGATTCCAGTCAGTTCTTGTGATCTGCTTACTCTCCTGTGTTAAGGATATCCCAATCGAGATGTAGACTGGAAGATGATCAGAAGATAATGCATTTATAACGTCAGCTGCTATGGGTGTATTCAAATTGGAAATAGCGAAATCAAGAATGTCCGGTCTTTGATTGCTCATGTTTGGTAGATATGTAGGACATAATGGCGCGATAACAGTAAGTGCGTGCTTATTCACAAGATTCTTGAGCTGTAGTCCGTTGCGGTTGGTTCTGTTGCATCCCCATGTTGTGTGTTTCGAGTTAAAATCTCCAGCTACAATTGTCTCCATGTTTGTTGGGAAAAGTTGTCTGATGTCATCGTCTGAGAGAGTATTACCTGGAGCATTGTAAATTCCAGTGATCTTGATGTTTTTGTTATCGTAGTTAAGAAAAATTGAGATTTGTTCATATCCAGCTTGGTTTGATTTGTTAAATTCGGTTGTCATTAGGCTATTCTTCGCCAGGAGGGCAACTCCCCCGCCTCTGAAATTCCTGTCACACCTGTAGGTCGTATAGTTGGCAACTTTTATGTGATGCTGTTTGTTAAGATGAGTGTGGTGTGGCTAAATAAAAAAGGGAGAAAAAAAGGGGGTGACTAACATTAAGTCAACTTAAGATTAAATGCAATTTAGAAAGTAATTATGTAAAGGCCGAAAAAGATGATAGTGGGGTACATTGGAAGTGGGTACAAAATTTCAGGTAAGAGCGACAGTGGAACATGCTGAAAAAAAGGAAGAGAAAACAACTTATACAGTAAAATTACTCACCAGACTCATAGTTAGGGATGCGGACAAAATATTAATTGACAACTTAACATTATGAAAAAACAAAAATGCTTGGCAAACATGCCAACACAGAAAAACTCGGCCTAAGCCGAAAAACCAAACAAACACTATTGAGAAAAAACAACAACTGACTATTTCTTCGTTATGAAGATAGGGGAGAAAACTCTCGCCAAAAAAATTGAAATTTTGCAAAGATCGCGTTGGTTGGACGGAGAAGGATCAGAGGGGCAAATCACAGAGCTGCAAAAATTGGCCAACTGGCGGAATTAATTGTTAAGCTCCGTGCCAAACATGAAGCAGGGTTGTCAAAAGCTGTGACACACCTGGTAAAGAATTTTGTGGAATGTTCTGGAACATTCTTGGCGCCATCATAAGATCAAAAGGGGCGCTTTGCATTTGATGCAAGTCGAAACGTGGGAAAACGGACTTGGGGTCACTCCTTCTCAATCCAACAAAGGGGTTTGCTGACTGGACATACATCTTGCTGTCAGCGAAGCAACAAAAGGAGGAATCTTCTTTTAAAGGAAGAACATAAATGCAGAGAAAGATTACTTTCCCAAGGTTACAAAAATATACTTGAGGCTTAAAATTTAAAGATTAAGGATTACATTAAAATATTGCAAGGAATTATTGAATACTGACAATTAAATAACATTAATTACAAGTGTAAAAAGAAGAAATTAAAAACCATACAATTAAATAAAATTTGCATATTACCATTAAGCTGTCACATAATTACATTATTAACAAATGAACAATCAACCAATGATTATTAAATTAGATGAATGATGATGATTAGATAAATTAGATGATTAGATAATGAAATTAGAATTAACAAATGATTTTAATTTATATGTAGTATACCATACTACATATATTCCCCCCAGATACAGAAAAAAAGGTGAAGCCTTTTTGTTACAACTAAATTCAGGACTTCAAAAACTAAATTCAGGACAGCAAAATCTGAAAATAAACGAATGTCAATGCAATTAATACATCCAATGCAATAACGGGAAGACAAAAAATCACAAGATGGGAAAAAGGTAAAAAATTTGCATCCAACAAAAAAATATCTAGAATAAATACTTAATTGACAATACACAACACTAAAAAATTTGGTGAGATGTTAAGTTGTTTACAAAGAATAATGGCAACACAAAGTTTAAAAAAAATTATATACACAAAAAAGGAAAAAGGTTTACAAAATTCACCTGAAAAGCAAAAGTATTAGCGCTTGAGAATGAAATTCGTGAAAAGTCACAATTCGGGAGTCCATGTCAAGAAGAACCACTCAAGTAACATGTACTGCTCTTGTAGCTGTGCACCTTGATCTCAAACAACACATCCAACCATTTAGCTGCTATTAATTTGACGAAATATCACAGTTCAGTGAATCCAGTAGGAAACAATATATGAGGCACAGTGAACTATGAAACACCATCATTGAGCTGCCATTAATTTGACGAAACACCACAGTTCAATGGATCCAGTAGGAAACAATATACCAGGCACAGTGAACAAAGAAACACCAGCATTAAATAAGAGGCTGAGGCCAAGTTTACCTCAGTATAACACGGCAGGATCACGCCTCAGGAGCCGATAGTAGACAATACACACATCAGAAATATCAAGATATAGACATCAGGCATGAAGACAGTTCGAGGTAGCAGATACACTGATTACTTTCTGACAAAGTCTGACAAAGACAACTGGCATAAGTCCAGACGAGGGATACAGACATCAGGGATGAAGACAGTTCAAGGTAGCACCAGAAGACAGAGCAGAGCAGTACACAATGTCACGTCGTTGAAGAAAGTTCTGACTCATATGTTCAAACAAATTATGCAAAAAATTTATATTAGATCAAATGAAGTATAAACACGTAAGTATGAACAAAAATTGAGAATAATATACAACAAAAAAATTCAGACTTTGTGTTAGACCAACGAGGTTTAGAACATGTCTCTAAAAAAAGGTTGCATGAAAATGCATACAAAAATGACACATAGAAGATTGGGATAAACCCATTAACAAAAATTAAATTGCAGTGTTAAAATTGCATTAAAGGTTATTTGTATTTTACCACATTCCAAAATAAACAAAGAAAATCTAATTGTATCAGAAAAAATCCAAAGTAATAATTAAAGTTACTTTAAGTTACAAAATGTTTACATAAATAGTTGAGTGAAAACAAACTAAGAAAATAGGTAAAAAGTATTGCCCTGAGTTGAAAAAAAAATTAAACAAGAAAGCAATTAATTAATTGATGATTCTGAAACAAACGTTTCGATCACAACATTCCCCAAAAAAATCTTGTCAGGCCTGATAAGATGCCACATGTACGCCAGCGTAGTAGAGACATCCCAAAATTTTATGGGGGTTTGCAAGCAAAACATAAGCAAAATCACACAAACAATTATTTGAATTAAACATGTGAACGAAGAAAATATCTAGTATTTTGTTGAGGCAATTTATTACTGGTAGCACACAGAGATGTTTTTCTATGTGGGGCTAACCTTAGACGGTTTGCATTAATCTTAAACACAGGAGCATTAGGATTAGATAAAAATTGAATACTAAAATTAACATCATTATGTTTTATAACGATGGTGTATGGACCATTGAATTTGGGGTTGAAAGAATCTTTGGATTTCAAATACACAATATCATTTACTTCGAATTTACGAAGTTTAGCTTTCCTTTCAAACTTACTGTTTTGATCAGCCTGATTCTGCCTTAAAGAAGTATAAGCATTACTATAATAATTATTTAAATCATCCAATAAAAGAGGATGGAGGTCGCCAACCCCAATACTAACGATAAGGAATATAGAACAGGCTCGGGCATGATTGTGAAATTGGATGGTGAGACTATTGAGGTGGCCTCCATCAGANTACGAAGTTTAGCTTTCCTTTCAAACTTAATGTTTTGATCAGTCTGATTCTGCCTTAAAGAAGTATAAGCATTACTATAATAATTATTTAGATCATTTAAAACCTGAGAAACATAAGAAGCTTGGTCTAAACTTATAAGTTTATTGTTAGGATTTTGGTATGTGTCAAAGAAAATACTCATTTCACGACCAAAATGAAGCATGTTAGGGCTATATCCTGTGGCAGGATGAATAGCACTATTATAGATTTGTTGGTGAATTAAGAGGGCAGATTGAATAGAAATTCCTTGTTCTCGCAAGGCAATCAATGAGGATTTTAAGGAAGTGTTTATTCTTTCTGAAACTGAGTTCAGTTGAGGGTGCCCTGAAGTGGTATGTATTACCTTAATACCTAGTTCAGAATTTATAGTATGAAACACTTCACAATTAAACTGAGTTCCAAGATCACTTAGAATCATGGTAACTCTACCAAACAATGACATATAATTTAATAAATGTTGGACCATAGTATTAGCAGTTAAGTTCTTTAAGTGATATAACACTGTAAACTTACTGAAGTGATCTATAACAGTTAATACATGCCCGGTATCTTTAATAGGTGCTACAATATCAATACTAATAAAATCCCCAGGGCGAGTAGGTATTATGAAGAAGGAGTTATTCAGAGGGTTCAGGGTGCCAATTTCAGTGGTGATGGATATATCAGGTGAGGTGGAGTTTGTAGGGGGGTGTATAGTGGGCCAAGTTGGAGATAGTAATGACTAATTGAAGATTGCGATGAAAACAGAAGGGTGATGAAAATAATAGTTGAGCCGGATTAGAATTAATAAAAAAAGCTTTTATTTAGTAGTATATTTGCAGAGCTCGAGTTGAATCAATTTTGCATAATAATATTAATAAGGACAGGCCATGGGAGACAAAACCCCCACAACCTGCCTAATCAAAAGCCAAACTAAAAAGTACGTGTAATTTGTTCCGATCGGACACAGGTGATGCATGGGTAGGAGATCCAAAATTGACGAATTATCATAGTATATCATAGCCAAAACAAAGCCAACAAGCATATCAACATTGGGTTTTAAATAATACCTTGGCGATCACGAGTCGCCAACAAATTTATGTGAATATTTACAACCATGCAACTGAAACATTTAGCCGTTGGAAAATTAGAATAAAAAGTTATATATTCACTGTCGCCTTTAATCGAAAACAAAAATCTATTTATAAGTCTGCATTAGTAATGAAATAAAAAAGTATCCGTTACATAAATCTAGAAGAGAAGAAATAAATATTTTATGTTTGTTTTAAAAAGATTAAGTTTGTGATTTATTTTTAAAAAATTCTATAAATAAAAATAAGCTTAAGTAATGAAGGATATTTTAAAAAGATAGGAAATAAATATGTAATGCCAAATTCTGGCATCACAGGTATGTACACATTTTTTAAGGGGGCTGGTTTGACAGAATAATGTTTGATGCGAATACATGCATCACAAGATAACACATAGTTTAACGTGTCAGCATAGTAGCCTTTCCAATAAAATCTTTTCGACAATAACTCAAAAGTTTTCTTGACACCTGTATGAGATGCATGAGTAATTTCCAAAACCTTAGAGACTTGGGCACAACTATTAAATTAGCATAATCATTCTTAATATACTCTTCATGAAACATGAGTAGCTTAGTATCAGGGGATATAAAATATTTATCAATAATTTTAGTGTTTAAGTTTTTATTATTTAATTTAGTAATGATATCATTAAGTTCTTGATCTTTGGTTTGACTGTCCTTAAAGGTTTCATTAGATATTTGAAATTTAGGGTCAGTATGAGTAACACATACTAACTCATTATTTTTAGGATCAGAAAAAGGTACAATTAAAGATTCAGTATTATCAAAATCATTAAAATTACAGTCTTCTGTTAAATCAGGATTTTGGCATCGACTAAAA